GACAACTTTTGTTCAATCGTTCAAGAAATATTTCGCTACCTCCCAGAGCCAAGAGGACGCAGTGCAGTAACTTGGCGTTTCCTGTAAAAGCCAGTAAAGCGGACGACCAAGCACTTATCCACTTATTAATTTTACAGGCAAACGACTCACTTGAAGGTCCAGAATTATTTGAGCAAGTGCACAAATAAACTCTGTACTTAGATTCATATGTCTTCAATCAGGCCCAGGCAATTAAGTTTATGAAAATCAATGAATGCAAACGATATTCAACACTGACTGAGTCTAAATGCGACCAACTGAAAGTTCAGTGATTCAGATTAATATTTAACCTACATTCTGAATACTTGTAGCAATGATCAGTTATCTCTTTAAATTAGTTATGAATAAACTGAGGGTCATGGGCATACGCGTATATGGCAACGATTCTAAAGTTCAGTTTGCATTGACATCTAGCTCATCTTTCTGCTAACTCATATCTTTCCTATACTTTTTACCATTTTTCGAAAAACTGTACAATTTGGATTTATTTCATAAATGTCTAAGCATACTGAGAAAATTAACCATTGAAAAAACGTGAAATATTTGTGCCGCTGTTTACAGAAATATTGATAAACAAGTATTACAAATATTACAGGCAGCCTTTACAACGAACTGCTTTTCACCAACAACCTCAAATGAATGGTTAATTTGTCTGATGTTCTTGCCATGCTTTAATTTCGCTATGATCCTTTCATACTGAGGCTTTAAACTTTAACGCTAAACTTATGCCTGATCATTAAAAAGTTTGCCATTTCATTTCCTGTTGTAGTAGCTTAAGCGTATGTTTCCCGTAACTTAATACCCTCTAAAGACGGTAATTCATACATTATAAATCTACGTGCGCACATGAGCTGGTGATATCGTTAGTCTCTACTTGTTTTGGCTTTCGGGCTAATCAAGATGTGCTGCCATTTCTCTGAGTCGTTCAGTGAGGGTCTAAAGCGTCCGAGTCAATTTTTCGCTTTCTGTTTACCCTCGCGATTCCCTTCCTTCTGTGTGCATGTGTAATTTTCTCCCCCTTTCGTTGTTGTTTAATCGACGCAACCTGAACGATGTACGGTTAGTTGGATCATTGACGCCGGACCTGGTTAAACTGGTATGGCAAACTTTTGTTTCACATTCTTGATTGTAAATACGGCATTGCCAGTCTATAGTCCAGATAGGAAAGGAGGATGATCGTGGTCCGTGGCGAGGTTTCGCATCGAATTCAGCCACCTTCCCGTCATTGTATTGCTGTTATCGGACGTTGTACTAGGTCGGGTTACCAAAGGCTACGCAGGCTGTTGAACTGAACTGTTTCACGCGCTCTCGCACCTGGAGGCTTAGTATAATGGCGACAGCTGCCGAAGATCGACAGGAAAACAACGACGATACCAGTCAGCAATGGCAGTGATATCCGCGAGGAAGTCGGTTTACGTTCGTTGCTTCTACATATTGAGAAGTCACCGCTGCGATGGTTTG